AAGTTATACCTGTGCATGAGTCAAGTTTTGTCGCATTGCTTCTGCTTCAGTCTCTGCAGTGCGACGGGCTTGTTTATCACGCTCTGCGACGGCTGCCTGGTCCGCCAAAACAGAGGCTTGAGCTCTAGCATCGTCTAGCTCCCGCTGTAGCGCTGTCTCGAGACTGGAGCGCTCCTGAAGTTCCGCCTGTAACAGTTGCCTATGGAATTGAGATTCGCTTCGCAACCGCTCATCCAGGTGCTCACGAGCAGCCCTAAATTTAGTATATTTACGACCATAAGATTAGATATTAGACCGATAATAATAAAATAATCCAATTATGGATGTAAATAAATAATGAAAAAATAAATTTGGGGTATAAGTTGTTTTCGAGACTATTTATAAAAAATTGAACATCTCAGGACACTTAAGGTAATTTAAGAACTGAAAATCGAAGATGGCGACCAAAATGGTGTGGCCTTCGGTATAGTCGCAGTCTCCTTTCGAAGTATACAAGTAGGCTGACCCCGTTTTTGCAAATTAGTCGTGTTCTCAAAGCGACTTAGTTGGACACACTTATTCCGAAATCCTCTGCTAAAGTAGTTATGACAATTCCTAGCGTTGGACCGTGGATTTGGTACATTCCCAGACGTCTCGCCGGCATTGTCAATGAGTCTTGTCATTCTTAGTACTAAGATACAACGCGTCAGAGACAGGTGAAGTCAATCCCTTGGCCAGCTTTCTGCCTAAACAGTTGTGCTATCACTCCTTTTTATTTTTTTGCCTTTCAGCCTACTCCTTACCCCCTTATCACATTCCTGCTATATTACAACTTCTGACTTGTTTATATCCCACTCCTCAAGAGTTGTGCCCTTTTTGGCGACTTTATTATTGGGAGATATGTAAGAAAACTAAATGTGGAGTAAAGTCACTACAGGGAATTTATATATGAACTGTGGTCATAAAAACCAACTAAGAGTAATAGTTTTTAAATAATATATGCCTCAGATATGGAGACCAAGATGTTGTGGCCTCTATTTTGGTCGCAGTCTCCTTTCGA